GGGCACATTTGGCAGCTCAGGAAATAGCCCAGTGAAAAGTAACCCATTTTGGTTTGGTACAGTATTCCAAGGGGGGACAGAGGTGGCACTGGGGAATAGGTAAAGATACCTATTTTGAAATACCTGGTACTCATGGTAAGGTCCTTTTTTCCCTTGGCAAATAGAAAGATTTATTAGGCAACTGCTATTTTTCAATTCATATGAACTTCAGCACCTTTCTAGAAGGGTGCTGTGATCCTCATTTTATAGATGAGTTTTTTGAGGCTCAGAAGTTAAGTGTTTCCCTCAAGGCACATAGTGAACTACCGTCAGTGTCAACATCTAACCACAGATCATCTTTGTCATCCCCAGAACCCATGCCCTCACACCACTAGACACATGACTGGAACACAGCTGACAATAAAATTGAGGGACTCCCCCCTCTTCAGCCCCAAGCAAAGGATCACCTGATTCATGGTCAAAGCATAGATTGTTGCGTGTTTGGGGAAGGAGAGAGTAAGAACGGCACATGGGCTGAGCTTAAAGTGGACCATCAACTCTGCGTACATATCCTTGTGTTCTACCCCTCTGGGTTCTTGACATTATTCATATGCTGAAAAACTTCCCTTCTACTGTCCCTGTACTTTGTTTGAAAAATGCTATTTCCAACCCGTTGTAGGTTTCCCAAGGACTCTAGTGTTCTCTAGGTTAGAGCAGCCCCAAGTGCAGTCATAGCTTCCCTTGGGCTGTGCTCTACTGGAATGCCCCCATCCTCTGCATGAAGTCACCCTCTTCTCTGCAGTCTGACTGGCCACCTGTACTGCATAATTAGCCCTTACTTTACATGCTACTTCTCTTCCAAAATGGACTCAAGGCAGTTTACAACACACATATGAGCACACAAACACTAAACATAAAACTGACATTGGGCTGGGGTAAGGATTTTATTAAGAACTCCTGGCATGAGGTGGGAGGATTGCTTGAGGCCAGGAGTTTGAGACCAGCCTGAGCAACATAGCAAGACCCAAGCCAGCCTGGGCAACACAGCAAGACCCAAGGAAATTAAAAAAAAATTAGCTGAGTGTGGTGGCACTCACCCGTAGTACCAGCTACTTGGGAGGCTGAGGCAAGAGGATCACCTGAGCCCAGGAGTTCGAGACTGCAGTGAACTATGATCATGCCACTGTAGAGTGAGATCTTGTCTCTAAAGAAACCCCCAGAAACCCTGGCAGACAAAGATAATTGAACACAAGACTTAGTATTTTGGACATGCTTGAAGCTCTTACTCAAGGGGGGAGGGGGGCACGGGCAATATATGTAACCTTAACACTTGTACCCCCATAATACGCTAATATACAAAAAAGAAAAAAAAGACTTAGTCTTTATGTAAGGGATACCATACAATGAAATGATTTGTTCCATAGCAACTTTACCCTAAAAGTGCAGATCTGTTTGGCTTACTGATCTGAGGGCTACCTGCACAGGATCTAGGTCTTGTCTTGCTTTGATTGACACCTTGTCCTTCCACTCCCATCTGCTCTCTGCTGGGGGCACCTCAAGCAGACCAGGCATCTGAAGGGACCCTCTGGGAAAGAAGCTCATCACTACATTGCCCGATGACTCTAAACAGAGCTGCCGCATTCCCGAGACGTCAGGACAGTGCTCCCTCCGGAGTTATGAATAATGCAACACCATTAGCCATACAAAGCTGCAGTCTGAGAGGGCTGACTGAAGCAGAGCCAGCACACACACCTTCCCATTGGCACCCTTTCCAGAACTGGGGGGTGGCAGGTGGGGGGAACTGGCCCCTTTTCCCTATGGTAACTCACCCCTCTGGAATAAAGGTGGTTCCAGGAGCTTTGCCAATCCAGCACATTAGAGCTGTAGCACCAATAGTCAGGTAACAGTAGAGAATGACAAAATAGAAAAAGGCCTTACCTGTGGCCACACTCCCCACTCAGGTCCTTCACTGTGACAACAAACCTACTTGAATTTCTTCCTCTTTTGTTCAGATCCACAGCTTGTAGTCTTTTCTGTATCACAGGTGCCTTTGAGTGCCCTCTCCCCAGCAAAGTGTCAAAGCCACTGACACAGAGGTCAGGGGTGTGGAGCCACAGGCTTGGGCGCTGGCTCTGCCGTTACCAGATGTATGAACCTCAAAGTCCATAGACTTAACATGGAGATGAGAGCAGTACTTATCTCCACCGGGCTTTTGAAAAGAATGAGAGAATGTATGCAGAACCTCACAGTAAGCATTCAATATATATTAAGCTGTTATGAATTATGAAAATATAAAAATAATTCTGCATACTATTTCAGAGGCCCATGATTTCTAGGGCATCCTCAGGATGGTTGAGGATCCTTAAGAATCTTTTGCCTGGTTCCAGGTGGTGAGGAAGACAATAGCTCTCACCAATGCCCACATTTTCTCTCCAAATCCCATCAGCACACACTGAGCATCTGCTGTGTACTGGGCAGCCCGACTCACATGGGTATCTTCGTCACCAGCACACCTGAGGGCTAGGAATCATTCCCATTCTACTGATGAGGCGAGATAACTTGCTCAAGGTCTCACGGTGGAGGCGCTGCTGTTGAAATCTGTCTTCTGACTCACTGAGCTGTCTTCATCTGAGGAAAAACTTGAGGCTTCTGAGGAGGCTGCTCTCCATTGTGCTCTGTCAGCGACACTTTGTGCACACAAGAGATCCTAAGACACACATACTGGGTCCTCAGAATTGGCAGTGGCTTCTTCAAAATCAGTTCTGGCAGTGTGAGTGTCCATGAAAAAGAGCTCTTATACAGAGGGGTACTTCTTGTTCATAGGGCTACAGAAGTCACTAAATGACTTCAGTAATAGGGTCAAGGGGACAGATGGGCATCAGAGACGGTGTTTGAGTCTAGACTCATCTTCTTTTTTTTTTTTTGAGACAGAGTCTCGCTTTGTTGCCTAGGCTAGAGTGAGTCCCGTGGCATTAGCCTAGCTCACAGCAACCTCAAACTCCTGGGCTCAAGCAATCCTTCTGCCTCAGCCTCCCAAGTAGCTGGGACTACAAGCATGCGCCACCATGCCTGGCTCATTTTTCTATATATATTAGTTGGCCAATTAATTTCTATTTATAGTAGAGACGGGGTCTCGCTCTTGCTCAGGCTGGTTTCGAACTCCTGACCTCGAGCAATCCGCCCGCCTCGGCCTCCCAGAGAGCTAGGATTACAGGCGTGAGCCACCGTGCCCGGCCTAGACTCATCTTCTTATGTATGACCTCAAGAATGTCATTTCCCTCTAAGTCTTGGTTTCCTCACCTATAAAACAGGAGACAGATGTAGTCCCAGCTACTCAGGAGGCTGAGGCAGGAGGATCGCTTGAGCCCAGGAGTTTAAGGTTGCTGTGAGCTAGGCTGATGCCAAGGCAGTGAGACTCTGTCTCAAAACAAACACACAAACAAAAAAACAACAGGAGACAGATACTTCTGACTGCATAGGGTGCTCTGTGAGGGCTACGTGAGGTTGAGGGTATAAAGCCTCTGCATAGTACCTGGCACAAGACACCAGTCTTCCAGGAGTGGTAGTGATTCTTATCTCACCCAATCTTACTTGGCAGATGAGGAAACCAAGACCCAAGGAAGCAAATGAATAATAGTTTACCCAGTCGACTGTTTATTCTTTTCAACCGTACCATGATGCTTTCCAGGCTGGTTTGACAAACATTTCCCCCTACTGGATGCACAACGACCAAGGGAGGGAAGACTTTCACGGGGCATTTAAACAGCTCAGCAGGCCGGGTGTGGTGGCTCACGCCTGTAATCCTAGCACTCTGGGAGGCTGAGGTGGGCAGATCGTTCGAGGTCAGGAGTTTGAAACCAGCCTGAGCAAGAGCGAGACTCCGTCTCTACTATAAATAGAAAGAAATTAATTGGCCAACTAACACATATAGAAAAAATTAGCCGGGCATGGTGGCACATGTCTGTAGTCCCAGCTACTTGGGAGGCTGAGGCAGGAGGATCGCTTGAGCCCAGGAGTTTGAGGTTGCTGTGAGCTAGGCTGACACCATGGCACTCACTCTAGCCTGGGCGACAAAGCGAGACTCTGTCTCAAAAAAAACTAAATAAATAAAATAAAAAATAAACAGCTCAGGAAACAAAAAGATCAGAGCAAGTCAGTTACACTGACACCTGAAAATGACTGAGATGGAGAAGTGGTGCAGCAGAAAAGGGAGGGGCTGGCTCAGGGAGCAGGATTTAATATGCCAGGGATGACTCTGCCTCTCTCAGTGACAAGATGCCTGAAGAATGGTGGCACTTCCAGCCCAGCTCCCTCTTGTTTGGGGAATAGCAGTCATTTCTCAGAAACCTCACTGGCAAAGGCAGCCCTTTCCAAAGCATGACAGCTTCAATTTAGACAAACGATTTAAACTCACTTTTGCTGTGGAAGAAATGGACTAAAACTAGGACACAGAAAGAAGCAACCAAGGTGGCTAAAGATGCAGCTGAAAAGGTAGCCAAAGATCCAGCTTAGGGATTAGGAGCACTGGCTTTCTAGACTGTGGATAACTGCCCATTCAACAATTAGCAAGCCCAGCAGGAAGCAGATCTTTTTCTGTGTATGTTTGGATCCAACTAACATTTATCCAATGTCTGTTGTGTGCCAGACACGAAGCAAAAAGCTGCTTCTCATAAACTTCATTTAATGCCATTAAGTCTGAGAAGGCAGCATTATCAACTTCCTTTTTCAGATGAGGAAATAGGAGCAAAATGAATGGCTAACTGGCTGGGATTTGTCCTAGGTTCCTTGAACTCCAAGAACAGTGTTATCTCCACTAGTTCAAGCTGTCTTATTCCTGGGATCAAGAAAAGTCTGCATAGGAGCTAAAGGTCAAGAGGGCATGGGCTTTTCCATGAGCACACACTTGGACCCCCCTAACCACACAGCTACTAGTGACTACAAGAAAGGGCTTCCAAGCCAGCTCCAGAATTCAATGTCATTTTTCTAGCCTAGATTCTCTCAAAAAATGCCATAACAGGGAATACAAACTTGTAATATATTTTATTGATTTAGGGGCAAAACAAGGCAGCATTTGGTCAGTTAAGAAAGGCACCTCATTGAAAGTAATACATCACAGTATTGTTGAGTGATCCAGTCACAGGATTTGAGGATGGAAAGACAATCTTTGGATGATAAAGCTTAGGACACTTGCTCATTTATTTAAAAATGTCCCTTCACACACCATGGATAAAAGAAGGCAAGAGTGTAGGATTGTGGTATGTGCTGGGTGGCTGCTGAGCGCTTATCCATGAGAGCAGGTGTACTGGTGAATCAGCGGTAAGTCAGAGGAAGGGAGTCAGTCCAGCCTCCCCTGCCCTCGACTCCAGTAAATTTCATTTGCTGAGCCACCCCCCCCCCATAAATACATCCCATATCTCTTTCAAATGTGAAGATTATTTTTTGATCTTATGGTATAGGGAACCAGGGTCAGTAGTCAAACCCTCCATGTTCCAAGCTACAGGACAGATAGGACAACAGTTTGATTTCCTGTACTCTTGGTCTGGCAATGCATGAGGTTCTGAGATGAAAGCTGAGGTCTTAGGGCATTATCTTTAAAAAATACTGTTACCAGTCCAGAGTAAATGAAAATCCAATTCCTTAGAAATAATACTGTTCCTCACTATTTCTACCCATATCCTCCAAGCACAGTGGTTTTTTTAAAATTAATTTTTCCCTTTACTTATACTTTGAAGTTACCACTCATGTGTAAAAGAATCTGCCTCACTAAAACAACACTGCTGCTCTTCTAAATACTCCTCTTGAGCCCCTCACCAGCCCTCCCTCTCCATTGTCACCCTGACCACTCTTCCCCTCTGCCCAGCACCTAAGAGCAGGGATCACGCCGCGGGGTGATGAGCAGTGGTGCAGTCTCGCCTGGCCTTCTGTTACTAGGCTGAAATAGAGAGGAGACAAGAGAGAACAAAATGGGTTTTTAAAAACCAATATCACAGAAGGCTGGCATGCACATCCCAGCAACCAAATTCACTAAACACTGGACATTTCTCTGCCAGGTGAAAGCTCTCATGCCTGCTGAGGTTAACACTCTAGAATTAAATTAAGCAAAAATATAATCCTAACCATACTGAGAAGGGCATATGCATTCTGTGATCTTCTAGTTCTAACTGGCAGCCCAAATATCACATGCACACAGTGTGTGCCTGTATGCACACATTAATGTACATAGAAGGATGACAAATATTTGGGAAAGGACCATGCACATTCAATTAGCAAACATTCAGGGACCCTAACTTGAGGTCAAGTGCCTGCAATTGTCCCTAGTCAAAGGGGAGTTGAGTCCAAGATTCATGATACCACCTTCACCCAGAGAAGGATGCCAGACTCCTGCAGGCATGAGTGATAGTTTTGGTTTCATTCCTCTTTCTTGCCCATTCCCAGAAGTCATGTGCTTCCCAGAAACACACAAAGCCACGCTGAGTTTCTGTTGTAAGTGGGCAGAATTAGTTTAGAGCCAGGGAAACAAGGCAGGACAGAGGCAGCAGACATTCACTTGGACCAGGCAAAGAGGGAAGTAAGATGGCCACATATCCATGCCCAGTTGCCATGTGGGCAGAAGATAAAGCTTCTGGTAGTTCCACAGACAGCAGGAGAGCTCAGGTCAGATGGGGACCAGCAACTTTAGAATCCACTGCACAGAGTCAGCAGCAGATTATGCTGAGGCAGGAGGCATTATTTACTGGATCTGTCACTGACTTTCTAATGGTTTTTCTAGAGGCTGCTGTTTTTGTGGTCTTTCACAGCAGTCTATTATTTTATCTGTTTGCCAAAAATCAAACCAGAGTCCAAAAGGCACAGCATGGACCCTAGGAAATGCTTAATAGCTGGGGGACTAAAGTTATAAATAAAAGCTGGTTACCCTCATAAGTGGTCTTATTTTAGGGTGATCTTTTCTTGGCTAGTCTGAGGCTACTGCCATCATAAAATAAGGTGCAAAGGACTGGATCTTTGAGGGAGAAAGTGTGGGTTTAAAAGGGACACATCTGATTTGAGATTCACATCCTAGAGAGAGACTAGGTTTGAATAAATTCTGACCAAAATGAATCCAAGAACAGATCACCCCCAAAATACTGTTTTGTTCACACTTGGAAACAAACAAACATTAAGAATAAAAGTAAATAAACCTACCCTGGTCTCTCTTGGGGGAAGTAGATTTGGCTGCTCTCAGATGTTCAGCCTGGATGTTCAGAAGGAAATCTGACTTCAAAAGGACCTTTCGCCTGGTTTAATCCTTTGGCAACAGTTCAGGTTTTTTTTTCCAGCATATTATGGGGGTACAAATGGGCAGTTCAGTTTTTAAATCAAAGTCCTGAATGATCCCTACTTTACAGCACCATGATATACATCACCAAAATATTCCAACTTGGCCTTGCTCTTTCTACAGTGATACACTCTCCCAGTAATCTCTGCAATCTGTAATATAAGTACCTTTTTTCTTCCATTTATGGGGACAAAATTAATGATCCCTATCCATCCACTGACTTATGTGGCTTTTTATTGTGGGCTAGAAAACAAGTGGAATTATCTGCCAACAATGTGCCATCAAGAACTATGACCCTGTCTGACTTCACATGATCCTAGACTTCTCCTAAACAGCTGCTGGAGATGGAATAAATATTATGAAGGTTTGGAATTGGGGTGCCTGGCAGATATCTGGGATTATTTTGGTCAAAAAATTAAACAATTCCTTGCTGCTTTTGATGGGAAAAAACAAAAAGAAAAATAAATATTAAAAAAAAAAAGAAAGAAAAAGAAAAAAAAATAAATGTTTAAATAAATAAAAGAGTCTGCTAAAGAGGCAAACAGCTGGTAAAGTGACCTACCCTAAAACTTACAAAGTGGGAGAGTGAACACATACTTATGCCAACACACACACACACACCACACACACACACAAAGATGAGATGAAAGTTGCACATATGCCAAAGATACATCAAGCAAGTGCTTTTTTAATCAATACATCAAATGATATTCTTGCTAGCATGAGGAAGCTTCCCTCTGCCTGCCCTGCCATTCCCACCCACTCCCTCAACAGTGATAAGAAGAAATTCCTTTCAGACCCAATATTAGATAAACATAACCAAGTCTTTACATGTGGCTTTGGAGAAGGCTGCGAGGATGGACGCAAACACAACATCAGGGGTCTGGGACGCATCAATGGCAGAGTGGATCCCCCGTTTTCTATAGTACTCCACGAGTGGGGTGGTTTGAGTATGGTAGCTCTCCAGGCGGATTTTCAAGGCCTTCTCATTATCATCTGATCGACGGATCAAGGGTTCCCCAGTAATCTGAGAACAGGAAGAGGGCAATGAAAGGCCAGGCCTATTAGCAACATTTCCTTATCCCACGTCAGATGCATATTTGAGATGGGACCATTCTGTCCAGGATGCTGTCTGATCCCAAAGCCTATTAAAGGCAAAGACAGGCAATCCAGACTCTCTCCAATAACTTTGCTACTCCGAGGAACAGACCAGCTAGTCCAGAGAAGTCAGGAAGCCTGTCAGAAACAGCAACAGTGAGACGGGCAATGCCTTCCTCACACAGCTTTGTGCTCAGGCTGTTCAGCTTCCAAGATGAATGCTTCTAGGGTCAAAAGCAAAGAAGTCAAAGGCCTCTGAGACCAGAAGAATATGTCAAAATCAGAGATCCATTAGTAATTGTAATCTTAGCTGTCTAAATATTTAGTGTATTTACTAGAGTGTCACCAACCAACATTCTAAAAGTGGCAAGTGAAATGAGAACTCTGAATGGTATAATTACCAACTTTGCAAAACGTGACTAAGTTGATTCAATGGCTCTGAAAACTATATTTATAGAACCTGGATAACCTCATGAACTTGCCAAATGACAAAGGTAAACCCAGGAAATTCTTACTGTTGCCTACATGCTCTAAAATAGACCACACGGACTCCTTACGGTAAATCATACAGTGACCACGTATGAGACCCCAGGACACAGTAGAACAGTCACTATGGAGAGGATATTCTTCTGGAGGACTGATCAACAAACTTCTCTTCAGTACCATACCCCCCACTTCCTAATGCTGTGCTTTCAATCAACCTTCTTCTGATTAGTTGACCCCTTAGGTGGCCATGATGCCAGAAAGGGGCTGCTCCTGACAGAAGACAGGCACAATCTGGACACTGGGAAGTAGTGGGCGCAAGTAGCTACTTTGAGGTCAAGCAATTAAACCATCTAGGGAGACACTGAACAGATCTGCCACAGGCTGTGTGATTTACTTGATAGCGATATTTTCCATGGTTTAGTAATATTGGTAATATTGGTAATTTAGTTTTATTGGCAATAAAAGAGAAAACAGCGAAGAAAGAAAAGAGGAAAGAAAAAGAAATTTCTTGTCCTGAGTTTACATACGTCATCTTTCATGGGCTCCTTTGGGGGGTTGAACTCCTCGTGGTAAGAACGGCCACTCTTGGGGTGAATCAGCCTGAAAGACAGCAGATGAATAAGAGTCAGGTTGACTGAAAGTACCCCTCCCCCCCCCGCACCCCAGGGGTTTCCAGAATGACAAGCAGAGACATAGAAGCTAGAGGTCAGGACCCAGTACCCAGCAGAAAACCCAGCTATAAGCATTTCTTGCTTAGGAAAATAACTGTGCTTCCAGGAGAGCTTATGCCAGTGGCAGAGTGAGTACATTTTCTATTTTGACCAAACATGATAATGAGTAATTGGCAGAAGAGGCAAACTGCTGGCATGACTACCTAATTCAGGGCTTGAGAGAAAAAACTCTAGTGCTGGTCTTACACAGCCATCCATTCTATTCACCCGTTAAGTCAGCAAGCACTAATAAATGCCTAGTGTGATTCAGTCTGTAAGCTGAATCCAGGGGCTACAAAGCCATGAGTCAAGATCCCCGCTCACAAGTAGTGCTTAGTGGGGGAGACAAATGTGGAAATAAATAACTACAACAAATATGATAAACTGGCAGCTGCTGCCAGAGATTTTACAAAGTGCTATGGGGATAGAAGACAGAGAAATGAATCCTATTTTCTAATCTAGTCTGGTTATAAAACCAGAAAGGTGCTAACAGGAAAAATATGTCCCAGAGATGCAACCATCACAAGACAATGCAGTACACCCTTCTTATCATGAAGATGAAGGACAGCCTCATCATTATGGAGCAACACTCAAGTCACCAGGAAAAATGACATATTAAACAAGTCATGGAATAGAGAGCCCAAGAATAGGCATTTATTTGGCACTGAATGTGTAGCTGGTAGCAGCATCTGTACTGATTCCCCATAGGCAACAAGCCCATTTTCCTGACTGGGAATGGTCACACCACAGGAGCCTAGAAACCTAAAAGGGGAGGGAGGCAGGTTAAACTGCATGGTGGCCAAGGCTTGCTTGAGTTCTGTGGTTTCCCAATTCTATGCTCTGCTTGTGAAGCTCTGTTAGACCAGACCTTCCTCACATTTTCACCTCTTGGCATGTACAGAACTAATATTTGTACAGTACTTGGGGGGCTTGCTCCTCCTGGGGGAGTCTTGACTACCACAGGCCTGCCTAGTTGCTTTGATGGCCAAGGGGATCAGTATCTCAGCACACTAGATGGAAATCTTTGGTCCAAGACACATTTTACATCATCAGTGTGCTTGGACTGATCCAGGCTGATCCAGATGCTCTAAGGGTTGATGGGATCAGTATCTCAGCACATCACTGAAGCCACACCTTAGTACAATGGGATATTTAGTTTTTTGTTTTTTTTTTTTGAGACAGAGTCTCGCTTTGTTGCCCAGGCTAGAGTGAGTGCCGTGGCGCCAGCCTCGCTCACAGCAACCTCAAACTCCTGGGCTCAAGGGATCCTCCTGCCTCAGCCTCCCGAGTAGCTGGGACTACAGGCATGCGCCACCATGCCTGGCTAGTTTTTTCTATATATATTAGTTGGCCAATTAAGTTCTTTCTATTTATAGTAGAGACGGGGTCTCGCTCTTGCTCAGGCTGGTCTCGAACTCCTGACCTCGAGCAATCCGCCCGCCTTGGCCTCCCAGAGTGCTAGGATTACAGGCGTGAGCCACCGTGCCCGGCCGGATAGTTTTAATCACAGCATATTTTCAGCGGAACAAGATGGTCCATTCATGGCATAAGGTGGCAGTGATAGGGATGAGGTAACAGCCGAGAAAATAAGCTACAGTGTTGTCCCTCGGTATCCATGAGTGATTGGTTCCAGGATCCTCCCTCTGTGGAGGACAAACCCCAAGGATGCTTAAGTCCTTTTTATAAAATAGTGTAGTTATTTGCATGTAACCTACACACATCCTCCTGTATACTTTAAATCATCTCTAGATTACTTTTTTTTTTAAGAGACAGGTTCACTTTGTTGCCAGGCTAGAGTGAGTGCTTGGCGTCAGCCTAGCTCACAGCAACCTCAAACTCCTGGCTCAAGCAATCCTCTGCCTCAGCCTCCTGAGTAGCTGGCATACAGGCATGTGCCAACCATGTCTGGTTAATTTTTTCTATAATATAGTTGGCCAATTAATTTCTTTCTATTAATAGAGATTGGGTCTTGCTCTTGCCAGGTTGGTTTCGAACTCCGACCTCAAGCCCACAGCCCACCCTCAGCTCGCCAGAGTGCTATGATTACAGGCATGAGGCCACCAACCTGGCCTCTAGATTACTTATAATACCCGATACAATGTAATGCCATGTAAAGAGTTGTTATACTGTATTTAAAATGTATGGTTCTTATTTTCTTTTGTTTAATATTTCAATCCATGGTGGGGAACCCACAGATATGAAGGCTGACTGCACTGAAAGTAAGTGGCAGTGACTGCAATTATGTTACTGTGAGGTTGGACTCCCACTATTGAGTCCTTGAAGGGTTTCTCTTGATGTACCCATTCAGAAATGGCATCCATTGGGAACCCAGGGAGAGCACAGGCTGCTGGCCACAGCTGCAGGGCCTCTGGGAAGGGACAGGGGCATATGACATGGACCATGATATTCTTCACCCTCTAGACGGCACCAGGAGCACAGCAGGCAGGCTGCAACAAACATGACTCTTCTCTTCCACGACTCTCACAAACTCCCAGATCTCTCAGGCCTCCAATTATACAACACACTGCTTCTTTCCTCATTCACATCATCCTCTTAAAGAGGAATGCAGGGCTCATTCCCTAGAAGGCAAATGAAAGAAAAAAGCCCAATCTCCAATTCAAAATGGACTGTGTTTAAGCCAACTAACAGCTCCCTGAGCCACTTTAGCCTGGCCTGGAGGTATGATCAGGATGGATTCTATGGTTACTGCTGCTTGAGTGTGATACTTTAGACACCCCGTTTACTCATCCACAAAATGGAGATGGTACAACATTATCGATAATAATACCACAAGCCAACTGGTAAATACTCAGTACCAAAGAGCCAGTACTGAATTAAAACAAAAAACAACCACCAACTATATTCAAGAAACAAAACAATGACTCAAAATGATTAGAAATGAGGTCAGAGTGAATCAGATTGTTAAGTGGGGTCTTTATCATCTCAGAACTTAAAACAAGATCCTATTATAACCAACTAGTCCTATCTCATTTTCTTCCAACCATCAGGCATTTAGACCAGGAGGCAAAAGCAGGCTTCTGGGGCTAAACGCTGCACTCATCTGCTGGTGGAATTGGAAAAAACACTTTCACCAGTGATGTGCTCTGTGAGGGAGGGAGTCACACTAAACCACCCACTTCCAAACTCAGGAACTGAGTTCTCTCTTTCACCCTCTACACAATCCAATAGTTGGTCTTTAGGTTCCTCTGTTCTCCACCACCAACCATAGTCAGGAGGCCTCATCACCTCATGTGGTTACAATCAGACCCTAGATGGGCGCTTTATCTTGTTCTCCTCTCACTAGTTTAGACCCTTATAAGACCAAGACCACACCTATGTTCTTAGAATGGTGTTTTTACCACAAACACCCCATGGCTCAAGAATATCTCATGACTCTCGAATTCATTATCAATCTATCATCATCAGTTTGGCAGACCTCCTTTGTCAAGCTCCCATCCTATCTTCCCAACAGCCATCCTATCTTCCAATCATCTACACAGGCAGTATAGATATGTCTGCTCCTGGCCACAAGTACAGCCCCTCCCTACTCAGTACTTATTCCTACTTCTATTCCTTTCTGGGAAAGTTTCATTGAATACTCTTCATTAGGAAGGTCAATTTATGTTTCCTCTAGCAAGCCTTCCTTCCCTGTCCCAGGCTCTCTTCTTTGGACTTCTAACTGTACTGAACGCCGCAAACAGGCCTAGCTTATCACATATGTCCTCTAGGTCAGAGGATGCATCACTACATTTATTCTACAGCTCTCCTGTTCCTTCACCCCAAGTGTTAGTACTGTGCTATGCAGGAAGGGTACTCAGGAAGCTGGGCCCACCCATTCAAAGGCCCCCCATTCACTGGTTTTGTTAACATTGGCTTGTTGCTTCAGGACCCCAGGCCTGGTGATGTGTCCTTTCCTGTCAACCCACACTTCTTTGGTCTACATCAACTGCTTACTTGTGCCCAATGGGATGCAAAGAACAAAAGTCCCTCTATTGAAGGGAAGCTATGGAATAGCTCGGAACACTGAACCTGGTACATTTGGAGAAGAAATTATTTAAGGTATAATCCCACGTTATTTTCCCTATAGCTTTCCAGAATACTTTTTTTTTTTTGGACAGTCTTGCTTTGTTGCCCAGCTGAGTGGGGAGTGCCGTGGCGTCAGCCTAGCTCACAGCAAACTCAAATCCTGTCTCGAGCGATCCTTCTGTCTCAGCATCCCGAGAGGTGAGGAATAAAGCATGCGCCACATGCCCAGCTATTTTATATATTATATCAGTTGGCCAATTAGTTCTTTCTTTAAGTAGTAGACGAGGTCTCGCTTCTGCTCAGGCTGGTTTTGAACTCTGACTTGAGCAATCGCCGCCTCGCCTCCCAGAGAGCTAGGATTTACAGGCGTTAGAAAAGCCACCCGCCCGGCTCCAGGATATTTTAGCATTTACTTGCGTATCTATATCACTGCTGGCCTCTTCCTTAAAAGGTGCCACTACAGACCACATGGAAAGATGGTCAACCTTCATTGGAATCAAAGATAAAAGGTCTAAACAAAGACATTTTCCTATTAATCAAAGAATTATATATGCACTAAAATGGTCACGCATCAATTTACAGTGGCAACTGGAAGAAACAGCAAATGTACAACAATAAGGGAATAAATAAGTAATGATGATTTACCTACTGTGCAATATCATGCGGAATTAAAATAATGGTCCTGAACTCCTTAAAATGACAAAAAAAAAAGCTACGCCCATCGATAAAGGAAGAGAGAAGGCTCATAGTGGATGAGATCTCCAACATATTCTGGAAGGGCAACAAAGCAGAGGTAGAGTGATTAGTGAAATAGGGTACTTGAAACTGTAGCCTAACAGTGTATGGTCTTTGGAACAAACATGT